AGGATGACAATCCGTATCTCCGCCACTTTCCGGGCCCACGGATACCTTGCTACGCCAAAGACAAGAACAGACGCAAAATAGAACCGTGATAATTATATTTATATCAAATATTCGCATTTTATTAGTAAAATCACTAAATTTAGAGACCTTAAATGGTCTATATAAAATACTGAACCATAATTAACAAATACAAAACTTAATTAATACTCAAAAAGACAAAGATAAATGCGCATTTCTTATTTCATATGCTAGGTCAGACTGCTATAAGTGATCCTTCTTCACTAGTATCTTTAAAGTTGTCCTTAGAGCACGGAAAATCAATGACTTTCTAATCACTTCCCAATAGAAAATGGCGTGAAGCAAGGCTATCTATTCGCTATCTTCTTTGGCGTAAGGCTTGGTCAAATGAGGCATTGACTGCATGAAGGCATCTACATTCGGTTTCGTTCAGACGGCAATGTGTTCAATCTTCGACGTCTACTATCCCATTCAAAAACAAAGGAGATGGTCATAACGGAGCTTCTCTATGCCGATGATTGCGCCCTGCTAGCTCACAATGAGAATGATCTCCAGAACGCGGTAAACGAATTTGCATACGCTGCCGCTTCTTTCGGTCTATCTATAAACCTCGGGAAAACAGTCATTTTCCAGAAGTCACCCAATAAAATATGCTCAGCCCCAAGGATCACCGTAAACGGACAGCCCCTTAACGTGGTAGACCACTTCATATATTTAGGTAGTATAGTGTCTAATGACGCCCCACTTTCAGGGGAAGTTGATAACCGTCTGGCCAGGGACAGTGGCGCTTTTGGACGTCTTCAGGCGAAAGTATGGAAGAACAAATCGCTCCGCCTGCCTACAAAAATCAATGTCTACCAGGCGGTGGTTCTCTCAATCCTTCTATATGGCTCTGAGACATGGACACTATATAAAAAAAAACAAAGACTTTGGAGCGATTTCACTAAAGATGCTTGCGCTCCATCATGGACATACAGGACCGCACTACAAACAGCGATGTCCTTGCGAACGCCGGTATGGACAGTATAGAGGGACTTCTTATGGTCCGACATCTACGCTGGGCAGGGCACGTATCCCGTACGGGAGACGAATGTATGCCAAAGGCAGTCTTTTTTGGTGAGCTAAAAGGTGGTCGACGTAACAGAGGCACCCCACGGAAACGCTTCAAAGACCAGCTTAGACGTCAACTTTCCTTGGCTGACATAGAAGAGAGCACCTGGTTGCATGCGGCGTCGGAGCGAGACAGCTGGAGGTCACTCACGAAGGCCGCGGGATACACATTTGAGACCAAAAGAAAATCTGCTGCCGATGACAAACGCAGACGACGAAAAGAAAATCTATATCGACCACCTGCGGACAATGGTTATGTTTGCCCTGGATGTGGCAAAATATGTAGGTCACAGCTGGGGCTGCGCAGCCACGGGAAATACTGCATTCTTCACTAATCTTCGGACTCTAAGACAAGCCTCATTATTATTTATATTCTATTTGCATGACTAGATTGACAAAGGAGTGCGCGTACATGTGGCGTAGGGTGTAATTATCTTTTTTTTAAAAGTAATAATAATAATAATCTTAATTGTCCGTATGGAAATTAGTCTTACAATTTGTGCATTAGACCAAACAAAAAACATTATAACTATAAGAAACCAAAGTGTACATTCACACCAGACTCACTCATAATTTACATGTGACAAAGTTTAAATCAGATTGTTCTTATTTAATGATTTGATTGCCAGGGGAACAAAAGAGTGTTTGTGTCTGTTTGTCTTTGCCATCGGTGTCTTGTATCTCTTTTGTGATGGTAAAATCACAAAATCCTGACACAAAGGGTGATTCTTTATTTCGAGGATCTTGTTAGCTTTTTTATAGATGTTTGTCTCAAACAACTGCCCAAATGGGGTTTGTTTTTTGCCAATGATTTTACCAGCAGCATTTAGGATTCTATAAAGTTCATTTTTAATGCTCAGATTAATATCAGATTAATATATTAAGATCAGTAATTTAAAAGATACGAACGGCTGAACAATTATGACTAATATAATCAATAGTACGGGAACCGCTGCAAATGTACCGCAGAAAACAGCCATGACCTTATCGTAGTGGTTACCTATTTATAGACGCTGGTTACAAAACAACGCATCCCGTGACTCGATATCACGTGATAAATTTAACTGTAACTTGGCATTTACAAAAACGAGCTAAGGAAGTTAAACTGCAGAGTCTGATCGATCATTTGAGAAAAGGTAGATCTAGATCTTTTTTTCCCCTCTCTAGGCTAGTCTAACTCAAAAAATTATCCTGGCTAATTATCGGCATTTTATGAACGCGGGACGCTGATATACAGGATTACCCTATAGATCTAAATAATATAGAGTCTAGTCATAGTTATAGTCAATATAGATTATACTTAGTTAATAGTTATAGATAAGATAGATCTAATTCTAATTAAATTTAAATAATCTTATCTATGATTATTGATTAGTATGATCTATCATCTACTTATTTATTATTAATTATTATTCAACGCAGTGACTATGACAACAGACTTCTGTAGTTTAAGTAAGAAAAGAGTCAGACTAGAGTTGGCTAGACTCATCAGACTGACTAGTCACTAGAGAGTAGAGTCTAGACTCTCACTACTCACTAGATCTAGATTTATCTAGATATATATATAATATTATTTTTTTGGATGGCTGCCTGGTCGTGCGGTTTGGGCGCTGGACTGTCGTTGGGATTTATCCATGGTCCCTGGTTCAAACCCTGCCCGCTCCCATCCCCTGTCGTCCTGCGGGAGGTTTGGGTTAAGAGATGGTAATAACTTCATTACACATTTACTTGATATTTATAACATATCAAGGAATAGACCTAATGGCAAGAATGAGTATCATCCAATTTCTCAACAGCATTGAATAAAATCTGGCCTCTGGTTGTGTCTTCTAATGCAGCCACACTAATAGATCTCTTTGACCTGTCTAAATGATCATTTTGATCAACTCTACAGTTGTACATTTTTTGTGTTTGGTGTAAGATTGGGATCAAATTCTTGCTTGCATTGTCATGATAGTGTATTTTCTTTTGGCTTTAATCATGTCAGCTCACCAGACTAAAGCTCTTGTTGCTTATGATCAAATTTTTCTTTCTGAGCACATTACATTGGATAAATATTCCAGATATATATATTAATTGAACAAAATTAGCATCAGTTTAGGATGAAATCATGTATTTCTTAGAGTTTCCTTTAATATACTTTTGCAGGCTTCCAGTAACAGACTGTGGTTTTCTCACAGTTGATCTTAAGTGAAAAAGTTTCTTAGTCATTATGCAAGTTACTGAACACCAACCATTGGACTCAGAAATATGTGAAATCTACTTTTGTTTTCTAAAAAAAAAAATAGCTTGACTTTCTAATGAGTAGATGAATCGCCCTACTGATTTGCTGTTGTTCAGTTTATCTCAAAGTTGGGCACATAGAAATGTCAATATTATAGAGCCCTATTCTATTTATATGCAACTAAATGATGTAATTTCTTGTGCACTAGATTATACAAAATTAGATGGAAAGATAAAGCCAGATTTCATTATTGCATATGCTAGGACAATAAGTTGCTTTATTTATCTCGGAGAGCCAATGGCTTAGAAGTGTTTAAGTCTCTTATTTAACATGTATGACTAAAGTAACAAATGGAACTTTTAGGATGTAATTATTTTCATTTTTAAAGAAACACCTTTCTTGAATAATATAATTATGATGGATAGCTTTAATTCTTACTTATCTATCTCTTCAATGAAAGAACAAAGATGGCAACAATAACAGCAGTTTTGTTGGCGCTTTTCTCCCTGGTGGCGCTTAGCTCTGCCTGTTGTACACCTGACCAATGGGAAGGCGTGGAATCTTCAATTGGTGGATGGGCTGGGCGAAGGCGTAGTGGTCTTTTGAAAGTAAGAATAAATTCAATCATTTTCAACTGATTTGAGTTTATTTCCTGTCTTCATAAATATGTATTAGCGTAGTTCTGTAAATGAATTTAAATTTTGTTTTTAGTGCTGTACATATTTTTTACCCTTACTCTTCTCTCATCTCTTAATACCTAAGTTTGTAGGACAAGGGTACTGTATGGGGTTGGTGCTCTCACTGTTTGGTTTAAACATTTAATATATTGTATAATTTTTTCTATACCTGGTAGGTACCAATACCATCCTGTTTTTTTTTAAATAAAGGAAATATTTGCTCTTGCATCCTCCAATGTAGCAGCCAAAACCCATTAAGATATAATACCTTTGCTTGGCTTCTTTAGTGATATAGCCTAAGGGAGATAACCTCCTCATCTCTCAGCTCAGTTACATTCTTACATCTTAGATTATCAATTGTAGTCCTTATGGATCAAATACTTTTACTTCATCATCTTGAGGGAATTTCCTTCCACAATTAAGCTCCTCTTCCCTTCTCAGGACCATCCCTACCCACAATTGGATTCCTCAAGGCAACTCCACTGTGACAATCTTCATTATTTTATTATCAGTGAGAGTCCACAAAGTCAGAATAAAACTATTTTTTTTTTGTCTCTTGACTCATTTCTTTCCCCTCTAATATTTGATACCAAAAAGTAATGTTGAATTGTACCAGGTTGGGTTGTAGAATGCTGAAATAATCAAACCTTTTCATTTAACATTGTTCCTTTTTTTTATGAAGAATACATTTTGTTCTTTTCTGTGTCTAAATTAGTCATTTAGCTATTTATAGTAAAGATTGCAAAGTTAGTAATGCTAGAGTTAAAGCTAAGGCCAGCTAGATATTTGTTATTGTTTTTTAATAGTAAATCCTAATTTGTATTTTTGAGGAATATGCCTCAACAGAGTTTGCTATTTTCTTTTGTGTTTTATTCACAGGAATTTGTTTTTGCATCCTATGATTACACTAACAAGCGTTCAGCTGCTTTCCTTGACTATGCCAATGGAGAATACTTTAACAGGTTTCAAATTGTTGTGAGATATGAAGGGGAGGTAGGAACCAAGTTTGATAACTCTCTAGTTCTGTCTGGACTTTCATGTGTTCATTTATTATTCAACGTACCGGTACACTTGTTTATTTTTTTTTACATTTGGCACATTTTTATTTCTAACTATAGAACTTTTCATTCTGTACATTTAGGTTGGCAACTTGTACATTGTAGACCTGAAACGAAACAAATGTTGGTTAAAAACACTGAAACGTCCTTTCCGCCAAGCATGCATTCCAGGTTGGAATTCTTTTCTTTTTATCTTTGTTTGCGATCAATTTTAAAAAGTGTTAGCCACTTTCAATTGTTAAAAAATGTTATGCTAGAATGTTATAGTTTGTTTATGTTTGTTAGAATGTTAAGTGTTTCTCCATCATGTTTGCTCAAATATTTAGTGTGCTATAGGCTTGTTCCATTTCTCTTATATGTTTGCTATTTAATTTCAGAGAAAGCCAAATCTGTAGGTGACTATTACTTGGGTCTGAAAGGTGGATTTAAAGTTTCTGGTTATGCTATTGAAGGTGAACGTATCAATGCCTTCATCTCCGTTCAAAATGTCTCTGGCAGCTGCATACCTGTTTCTGAAGCTGTCTATGGAAAACTTACCAAAGGTTATTTGATATATTTACATTAAATTCACAGGAGTAATTTTAAATAAAAATGTTAGCCACTCATGTGCTTTAAAACTAAATTTAGATACTATTATTTAGCTTACAAAAATTGTAACATTTTAACATTATGTAAATTAGAGACTTTGAGCTAGTATACAAAGCCTAATATTAAAAAACATTCATTAAATCAATTACATTGCACATTACATAGAGAATTATCAAACCTGACAATTTTTTGTTTAAAGTATTTTTAGTTAGTATCTTGAAAATGTAAGTTTTTAGGTTTCTTCTAAACCTTATGTTATTGATTTGTAAATTTTTGGGGTTACTATTGTGTTAAAAAAACAGTTTGACAAACCCAAGTTTGTAAAATCACATGTGGACAGTAAACACTGATAATACATCCAAAAGGATTTATCACCTGTTCCAAACACTTCATACTTATCACAAGTTCTTGAATGGCACATAAAGAGCAAAACTCAACCAACCAAATTTCTTCATGTCCAACAGAGTGTCTGTATAGTGCATACATTACTCAGGGTGGATGGACACGCACAATCCAACAGCAAATAATGTGTGTTGCCTCAGCTTTCGTTTGTGAGGTGACCATAGTTTTAAAAAATGAGATTGGGCCCTGACAACTAAAACAATATAAGCACATTGAATATGACAGAGTGTTGCTTTTAATTTCATATGCAGTAATAGACTAAAAAAAACAACTAGAAAGGTTCTGCTCAATGATCTTCAGTGAGATTTCACTGAGTATTAATAAAGATAAGTTCTGTTAATAACAATCCTAATTGTTTTGCATTTTTGGTCATATGCTTGATGCTAATGCCAGGCAAATCCACATTTGCTGGCATTAAAATGCTTAACAGTTCTCATTTTTCAATTAAAGGTTATTTTGAAAAGATTTAACTAAAAATTTAATTTTTGTTTTATAGACTAAAACCCGGCTTTATTCGTCTTTTTTTTTTTTTCCCATTAACATTTTTGTGTATTTTTTTTTAAACAGTGGATTTTGTTCAGACTGTTGGATTTGTTAACCTAACTCCAGGAATAAAAAATGAAACAGTTTTTGATGTCCCCGCTCAATGTGAAAAGGTAATTTGTTTTCACCTGTTAATATTTATCAAAAAGTATCTACAATGTGAAAAAAAGCTGGTATAGTGATCAGTTCAAGCCAGTTGAAATGAAACGAGTTAGCAGTGACTTTGATTTTAATAATTTTTTTATTTCAACTACAATATGCTGTGAATTCCAGTAGCACTACATGGCAACATTTCTTTGTTTTGCTTTTCCATTGGAACAGATTGAAGTGAATTCTCCTTCCACATTTCCTAATGCACACACACACACAACTTGCAAGGCACATCAGTTGTAGCTTTGAAAAAGGAAATATATCTTTGTTTTGAAACTTTAAATGGATGTCTCTTAAGGACAACCCCTTTCCCAAGAATGACTAGAATGTCTCTTCATTTGGTATGAATAATTTAGCCCCACTATTTTATTTCCTCTTTTTTTTGTTGTTGGCTTGTCACTTCTTAACCCTGAATGTTAAATTGCTTTGAAATTGTGGGGCAAAGTCTGAGAGGAACAAACTGCACACACATTTATGTCTCATTTTTAGAATAAACTCACTTTACCTCCTGCAATGGATCAGCCTGAGTCTGGTTTCCTCTCTGCTAGGGCATTGTTGTCATGTCATTTTGTTGTTGTTAATCATTATACTTCTTTTTTTCCCCCATTTTTCCTCTCCCCCCCCCCCCCCCCAAATTACTTTATTTTGGTGTTTTTAATTAGAAACAGAAAAATAAAATGGGTAGGTGATAATAATCAAAAAGAAAGTTGGATTAAAGATTGAACATTTGTAATGATGGTTGCAGTAGATCTTAAGTAACAACTTGAATAAAGGTTTTGTTTTTTAAATGGTGTTGTAAAGAAAAATAGCAAAGTTTCAGATTCTGGAATAGTTCTAACGTCAAAAATTACTGATGTGCATCAGGGTTATTTAGTTGTATAAAATATCAGAGTAAGTACAGGGTTATTTAGTTGTATAAAAATATCCTTTGAGTAAGTAGTGATTTTTTTTCCTTTTGTTCCCTCTTGTACCTATTTCTTTGAATTTCATTTGTATGAATACTACCATCTTGTCCATTTGTGACTAAAGTTTTTGTTTTGTTTTGTTTTTCAGAAAGAAGATTTCAGTTTGGCTGAAGAACTCACCCGAGATCATTATTTCTTTGCTATTTAAACAAGATCACACTAAACTTCCTTTTTTTTTTTTTCTTGTGTTTTTTTGTGTGTTTTCCTGTAACATTTCCTGTTTACTTTTTTTTAAGAAGGGAAAAAAAAAACTCAACACAACACAATGGACTTTTTGTTCTTGGCATGGTTATTAAAAGATCTTGGTGCCAAAGAGTACATTAAAAAAAGACAAAAAATAGAGATTAGGGAAACTATACTTTTGTATAGAATTTAGATCTGTACTTTGTTATTGTTTTGCAGAAGAATAGATGTCTTTGAGCATGAACTTTTAATCAACGTAGAATTTATTCCATGTAGTCTGTGATTAACCTTTTTTTTTTTTAAATTGTCTTGGTATTATTCTAGTAAAATGAGATTGTATAGATAATGTAATGTTACATGAGCAAATGTGTATTCCAATGGATCAATTCCTAATGTTGTACCTCTACTTTTAGAATGTGAGTGTTATGCAAATGAGTGCCTACTTAATTTTTTATAAAATCTTTCAAACAGAATCTCCTTATTTCGTTGTTCATAGATAGACTCAATACAAATTTTAAAAGGTGTCTTAAATCAATTGAAGTTAAAATTTCATGAGTGGATCTGAATCTTGTGGTTGCTGAAAAATTGCATTTTAACTGAAATGTTATTAATCGTATTTGATCAGTTACATTTTTGAAGTTTTTATCAAATGCTCATTTATAACTATTTTTCTATTTGAATAAAAAAAAAAATTTTGTAATCAACGTGTTGATTTGATTTGCAAAACCTTGTTGATTTAATTGATGTTTGTAACATTTTTTGAAAGTGTCAAGATTGATTACACTTTTAAAATATGATATGCATCCATGTATTGATAGAAACTGAATGGCCATTCAGAATTGTGTGACCGGCAAAGTGCCAAATGATTATCCGTTTCTGCCTAGGCATTCTATAGAATGACTAGTTCTGCGTCAGGCAAACTAGAAACTGTCTTATTTGGAAAGATATTTATACATTAAATATACATGAATGAAAAAAAACAAATATAGAACAGGATTATGTAGGCCGAGTTTATACAGGTATAGGTCTAAGCACTTCTTCAATGGTGAAATATGTGAAAAAATGAATTGCATAGAAGTCTGGGTGAACATGAGCAACTAACTTGTGCTTTCCACGATCATCACAACAAACCGTTTGATCAGCTTTTAAATCAATATATAGTCAAGTCTTTCCTTCTTAGTAGTTATATTTGGTTTCATACAATATGAGATATCTTTTGTATCAACTTTTTACCTTGTTTAAAAAAAACAACAAATATGGCGGCATTTTTGGTGTCAGCCGCGAATAAAAGATTTTTAAACTTCGCCTAGAGATTGGAGAATGAAAGGGAATATTAACCAAAAAGAGACCAGAAAATAAATTTAAGACCAGGCTAGCTACAATGTTGCTCACAATGGTAGTAAAGAAATGAAGCCATTTTCCAACTCGTAGAAAAAATAGATTAAAGATAAACTTCAAACATCCAAAATTCATCAAGGTATCCACCGGTTTCTAATCAAATAGTTTCAGGTCAATTTCGTTTCATTTCGTTTTTTTGTTGTTTTTTCTACCTTTTTTGGTCATGTGGCCCGCGACACGAGTGTCTGAAATTAAAATGGCCCGCAGGTTTAATTAGGCTGGGTATCACCGAGCTAAATCAACAGAGGACGCATATTTTAATGTCATTCAATATAATAAGTTAACCGAAGACACTGATGAATAAGCCGGTTTGTACTGGAAGAGTCTCAAGTCAATTTCAGAGTCCCGACAATGTTTATTTTAAAACATGGTGCACAATTCTATTTTAATTTTCCTATAGTCAAATAATAGTGTTTTTGATGCACCATTCGAAACTCCTAAACTAGAAACGCAATCATTGCCACGTCCCTCCAACAAGCCACAGAATATAATACATCACCAATAGTAGGGAACTGTTTGGCCAGTTGACATGGACAAATGGACTGGGCGTGTGGCCCTAGTGACTGGTGCTTCACGTGGGATAGGGTCATCCGTGGCCAGAATGCTTTGCCAGCAAGGGATGGTCGTAGTGGCACTGGCCAGAGACATCGCTGAGCTAGAGGTATACTAGATGAATAGATCAAGATATCCATAAAGTATAACTTGAGTTTAGTCTACCGTATTGGATCAACCTTAGTTATAAATGCGGTATTAAGTTTGAGCACGCTTCCACCATGTTGACCAAATTTTTTTTGTAAATACCATACTGAACGTTTGGGCTAGTTTACCCTGTAACCATTAATAAACCACCCTTTAATTCATTACAGCTTGGAGACTCTTATTAACATAATTAACAATGA